TGGAAACTCAGGCACTGCCCGAGGGCCCGGGATCAGTAGGGGGCCCCATGAGATGCCCCTGGTACCTTTTTTCATAGGCTTTTTTGAGTTTGGGCAAGGACACAGGGGCCCCATGATCCCCTATTGCCGGGGGCCCCATGATTTGTCAGTCCGCCCCTGCCCCAGAAGTAAGGTGTAGTATGACATTTCTGAGGTCACCGCTCAAGGATACAGCTATTCAAACATGGTCTGTATTTGATTAGCTGCAGTGGGGGGCAGGGGAGGCATTAGGGAATCTAACAGCCCCTCAATGTCTCCATGACGAGGACCTGTGACCAGCCCATGCTATCACATAGGGGATTTGTTAACCCTTTGTGATAGCAATAAAGTTAGAAAAAAAAATATATATATATTATAACGGGGGCTATACATTAATTTCTAGCACATAATTCTAAAAAAAATGATAAAAATTGCCCCGGGAGGTAAGTGGATAAAGCTGAAGTCTGGGCAGCTAAAGGGAAGAAGACAACCACTTTCCGGAGGGTTCAGGTTTTCATCCCATCACCCACTCCAGCTGAGGCCCTCATCCATTTGTACAAGGAAAACCAATCCACAAATACCGACGTACTGACATCTGAATGGTATCAATGGCAGAATATTTATTAAATTTAGAATAAAAATGACGTATAAAATAATGACATGTAGAGGAGTAGATAGTCCCACCGGTGAATGGCGAGGACAATATCAGAAGTGATAATAAAAACAATATAGATGAAGCCAAGAGAGTAGAAACAGAAAAAAGATCCAAAGAAATGGATGCTGTGTATACCGCCAGCATACACAGATATTGGGGATCCCCATGTGATGCACCTCCGGGTGCCATGTATAGGACGGGTGAGGCTGACACATTATAGGAACTCCGCCCCATCATCAGAAACGCCATCCCCAGCATCATCTAACCCATGGGTGTCAAACCCTCCAGCTCTTGAGGCATTGCAAGATTGACAATTACACGCATGACTCCCAACGGCAGAGGCATGATGGGACTTGTAGTTTCACAACAGCTGGAGGGCCGCCAGTTTGACACCCCTGAGTTAGTCTAACCCTTCCTTCCCCAGTCTGATTGACTCCATCTAGTCCATCTAGCACCAGGGGCAGACTGACCATTTGGAAACTCGGGCACTGCCCGAGGGCCCGGGGTCAGTAGGGGGCCCCATGGGATGCCCCTGGTACCTTTTTCATAGACTTTTTTGAGTTTGGACAAGGAAAAACGGGCCCCATGAACCCCTATTGCCCGGGGGCCCCATGAGTTGTCAGTCCGCCCCTGTCTAGCACCCAGGGCAAGGATGCAGATCTGCACCTCCACACCAACTGATAATTCGTGACATAGAATGGGTTTTTGTCCTGTGTCCATTCTCTGCCCCCTTGTTCCATGGTTCCCAGGGCAGCTGCCCCTCCTGCCCATCCCTTGTCCTGGACCCTGGCTCTGCCCCTTCCCTTTCATTCATTGGATTTCAGTTCTTCTGATTAGAGAGGCTTAGCATCACACATGGACATCGCATCGCACATTACCTAGGGTGGTCTGCATTCAGATACCCCTCCCCTTCATTGTATGAACTCCTCCCCTTCATGGGAGATGTCCAGCATCATAAAGCCCCTTCCACCCCAGCCTGATTGTCCCTGGCTTTTCCCTTCATTGGATTACATTTCTTTCAACCATGCATCACATTTGGGCATTACCTAGAACAACCTGCATTCAAATACTCCTCCAGCTTGATACCTACCCATCAGTGCTCCGACTGTGGGCCCTTGAGAGGAGTACTGAGGCAAGTTGCTGTGATGTTTTAGAAAGCTATGTACAGCATTGTGTCGGATCTCCTACCAGCCATAATCTGCTTGCATTGCATAGAGAAGCACATAGACACAGTGATGACATCATTGGACCTAAAATAAGGTCTGTAATAAAAATGGAAAGGTTTTATTGAATCATTTCATTCACATATTATTGAAGGGGGTGCTGTGGGGCAAAATATGAGCAGATTCAATTTCAGCTTTTATGTGTAACTAAAGCCAAAACCATTTTTCTGGCGCCAACATGGCAGCATACATGGGGTAGTAGCCCCGCCTACTACCGCCCACATGACCAGTGCATAGCTATAAAGAGTTAACACCCACACAACAGCTACTTCCTTACATAGATGCAATATATTGCCAAAAGTATTGTCCCCGCCCTCCAAAAAACATTGGATCCCCTCCCAATCATGTGGTGTTCCAATCCCCCCCATGTGATTCAGGTGCTCCAATCCCAATCATGTGATTCAGGTGTTCCAATCCCCTCCCAATCATGTGATTCAGGTGTTTCCAATCCCCTCCATGGACACAGGTGTATACAATCCATCCCCTAGGCATGCAGACTGCTTCTACAAACATTGGTGAAAGAATGGGTCGCTCACAGGAGCTCAGTGACTCCAAGCGTGGTCCCGTGATAGGTGGCCACCTGGGCAATAAGTCCATCCGTGACATTTCCTGGCTACTAAATATTCCACGCTCAACTGTTAGTGGGATTATAACAAAGTGGAAGCAACTGGGAACAACAGCCACTCAGCCACCAAGTGGTAGGCCACGTCACATGACAGGGCGGGGTCAGCGCATGCTGAAGCGCACAGTGCGCAGAAGTCGCCAACTCTCTGCAGAGTCAATAGCTAAAGACCTCAAACTTGGTGTGGCCTTCAGATGAGCCCAACAACAGTGCGTAGAGAGCTTCATGGAATGGGTTTCCATGGCCGAGCAGCTGCATCCAAGCCTTCCATCACCAAGTGCAATGCAAAGCGTCGGATGCCGTGGTGTAAAGCACGCCGCCACTGGACTCTAGAGCAATGGAGACGTGTTCTCTGGAGTGACGCCTCTCTGTCAGGCAATCTGATGGACGTGTCTGGGTTTTTTTGGTGGTCAGGAGAACAGTACTTGCCTGACTGCATTGTGCCAAGTGTAAAGTTTGGTGGAGGGGGGATTATGGTGTGGGGGAGTTTTTCAGGGGTTGGGCTTGGCCCCCTAGTTCCAGTGAAGGGAACTCTTAAGGCGTCAGCATGTGAAGACATTTTGGACAATTTTATCCTCCCAACTTTGTGGGAAAGAGTTGGGGGATGGCCCCTTTCTGTTCCAACATGACTGCGCACCAGTGCACAAAGCAAGGTCCATAAAGACATGGAGGAGCCAGTTTGGGGTGGAGGAACTTGACTGTCCTGCACAGAGTCCTGACCTCAACCCCATAGAACACCTTTGGGAAGAATTAGAGCAGAGACTGCGAGCCAGGCCTCCTCCCCCGACATCAGTGCCTGACCTGACAAATGTGCTTCTGGAAGAATGGTCCAACCTTCCCATAGACACCCTCCTAAACCTTGTGGACGGCCTTCCCAGAAGAGTTGAAGCTGTTATAGCTGCAAAGGGCGGGGCCAACTCAATATTGAACCCTACGGACTAAGACTGGGGGGCCATTAAAGTTCATGTGCGTGGAAAGGCCGGCCGCCCAATACAGTGTATGACAACCAACATGATAGGCAGGACAGTCAAACAGGTCCTTTTATGGGGTGTTTCTTTAGCATTTCTGATGGGCTCAGTAATCCCCACTACAGCTGACTTTGGTGAGAAGGCGGCAGCTTGTGCACTTTTTAAGATTAGATTTACTTAAGCTGCCCAGCCTGGTAGCTTGTTATTGGTCTATCACATGCATGCTGCCATGTTGGCGCCAGGAAAATGGAAAATTGCATTAAATATGTACTGTAATTTTCCTTTCCTGGCGCCAATCCATGGCAGCATACTAAACCAACCCAGTTCGTTCCTAGAGACGTGCAGGGAATGGGCTGTTGTGTGGGTGTTAACTTTTTATAGCTATGCATTGGTCCTGGGGGTGGAAGCAGGCAGAGTAACTCCCACAAGAATGCTGCCATGGATTGGTTCCAGGAAAGGAAAATTACGGTAAGTATTTTCCATTTTTTTTTATGTGGATAGAGTAATGGAATGGTTATAATCACTTAAATTCAATTATTTAATTCCCATTGGGGAGATTTCTTTTCATTTCCTGCCTTAGACACCCAACAGCAAGTAAGTGGAAATCTCCCCAAAGTGAAGTGAAATCTCTTCTTAGACAGTTGTCACCGCTAAGAAAGGAGATAATACCTCACCTCTTCTGGTGACAACTGTAAAATGTTGAATTTCCCAACAATCTCCCTAACGGGGACACCTACAGAGAAGGAAGGTTGACGGAGGTTCTAACCCTGACTACCTCACCAACCTGATCCCCAAGTACCACCCTACCCGTACCCTTCGCTCCTCACAGGACCTCCTTCTATCCTGCTCCCTGGTCTCCTCCTCCCATGCACGACTGCAGGACTTCTCCAGGTCCTCCCCTATCCTCTGGAACTCACTGCCCCAATCCATCCGACTGTCGCCTTCCCTCCCCACATTCAGGCGCTCCCTCAAAACCCATCTTTTCAGGGAAGCCTACCCCACCCTCACCTAACGGCCATCCTCCCTTATTCCTCCCACCACTTCATCCCCCTCAGCCACTTCATCCCCCTCAGCCACTTTCTATTGTTCCACTACCCCCTCCCTCCTAGATTGTAAGCTTGAAAGAGTAGGGCCCTCTAACCCCTCATACGCTGTTTTTGTACTGTGCCATGTATTGTCCCCCCCCTATTGTACAGCGCTGAGCAAACCCTTTGGCACTATATAAACTCCATGTAATAATAATAATAATAATAATAATAATAACCCTTCCCTACTCTATCCCAAACAAATATAGTTTTTTAGAGACAACTTAATCCTGACCTACAGACATTTTTCAGTAATGCACAACAAGCAGCAATCATTTAGGTTTACTGTACAATGATAGAAGTTTTAGAAAACATTCAAATGGTTTCAAAATAAAATTTTATATTTCAATCTCATGCTCATTCCAGCTTTTTGTAAAAATAGTGCTAAATAAATACTCCAAGGCAGGCGGTCCCCCATCCGTCTCTAGATTAATCTAGGATTTTATACTCATAAGTCAGGATGGAGAAGTTTGCAAATCTTCCAAGGAAGGACGGGAAGATCTCATCGTTGGTCTTCTGAAATCCCATTGTTTCGTATAACTTATGAGCTGCGTGTTGAATCATGGATGTCTCCAGTGTCACCATTTGGTACCCTCGTTGACGAGCAAAGTCAGTGACCTTTGTGCACAGGGCTTTGGCGATGCCTTTGTGCCTCTGGTCTTTGGCCACCGATAGACGTTTGAGCTGCATCACTTTGCTAGAACGAGGGGCAGATTGGACGCCGACCATCCCAACAACTCGGCCGTTGGACTCTGCCACCCAGAAGCAGGAGTTGTTGCTTGCCATGTAAGACTCCTCAATGTCCAGCAAGTCTTCTCGTTGACATCGATCTACGTACTGGTGGTACTCTCTGGTCAGCACACGGCGACCTCCCGTGAACACGACAGCCAGGCTGACTAGAGAGAGCAAGTAGGACCTGGAGACTAAAAGGAGGCTGATAAAGGAGATGAAGAGGATAAACTGTGCCCGGGGGAGCTTCAACAAGTAGGCACAAGTGGCCGGAATGTGCTCCAGCATCCCCTCAGCAAACATCATCCGGACAGCATTGTAGTCTTTGTTCTTATAGACTCGGATTGTGAATTCGGCCATCACCCCTCGACGCCCAACACAACCGTTCCTGCACAGAGATAGATATTTGTCATTACAATATGTTATACAGTGGAAACCATCTACCTTCATATGAAAGCTACTTGAAACTGTATATCAAAGATAAAAACTTGCGGAGCATAAATTATTTTTGTGTACCATTTGGGAATGGTTTGGGGTGCCAGTTCTGTCACCTGTTTGTTGCCATGTCATACAAATCATTTTACTGGGTTTCGGACCTTCAAAAATAAAAATGCAATAAAATATAATTAATCTGCAACAAATATGTATATGAGAAGCTCTAACTTTCCTCTAATAAAACTGATCTGCCTTCGATTGCAAAAAATATTCAACACTGAGATGGCCAAATGGCTGTTTTTTTCAGCAGGTGGTCTTAAGGATAAGCGCGGGATCAAACTTGGGTTCAGAACACACCCACAAGGAAGCCATCACTACTAAAAGGTTTCTTCACAGTAAGAGCTGTGAGAATGTGGAATAGACTCCCTCAAGAGTTGGTTGTGGCCAGCTCAGTGGATTGCTGTAGGAAAGTCCTGGATTCTTTCTTGGATACACAGAATATAACTGGATCAGGGGCGGACTGACAACTCATGGGGCCCCCGGGCAATAGGGGATCATGGGGCCCCTGTATCCTTGCCCAAAGTCAAAAAAGCCTATGAAAAAGGTACCAGGGGCATCTCATGGGGCCCCATACTGACCCCAGGCCCTCGAGCAGTGCCTGAGTTTCCAAATGGTCAGTCCGCCCCTGAACTGGATATAACATTTATAGGGAAAGTTGCCTCTCGGGGATCAGGAAGGAATTTTTTCCCCTGCAGGAGCAAATTGGATCGTGCTTTGCTGGGTTTTTTTGCCTTCCTCTGGGTCAACTCTGGGTGTCGGATTATAACTTTTTTTTTTTATGGTTGCACTGGATGGACTTTTGTTTTATTTCATCCAAACTATGTAATCAGTGCCCAGACCTCGATCTTACAGAGATGCTGTGGAATGACTTCAGGGAGCCATTGACACTAGATATCCTAAGAATATGGCTGAGCTGAAGCTGCTCTGTGAGGAAGAATGGTACAAACTTCCTCCTGAACATTATGAAGGTCTGGTTGAACTGGATGGAATTTTGCCCTTTTTTCAGCCAGACAAACTATATAACTACCACCCAATCAACTGAGGCCAAGTCATTCAACTTCACATACACAAAAGGGTGGGGACGCTCATGACACCATTGACCGAATATGGTTGCATAGCCATATTAGGTGAATATCATTGACTGGGAGTGATAGCTTCTTCCTGGGTTCAATCCAATCCCAAATTCTTTATTGGCTATGTACTAAAACATAACTCTGACAGGCTAACAGGTTTCGACTGTAGCAGCCTTCTTCATAGCACAATCGTAAGAAAAAATAGGATACACACATTCAACTGTAAATACAGCTTCTGGTGGCCCAGGAACTGATGCTCTGGCTGGAGTGTCTCCTTACTCGGAACAGTAGTAATTTCAAGCCGGCTACTCGGTGTCATCCATAAATGACAAGTCTATATTGGCTACATACTAGAACACAACGATGACAGGCTGGCGCATTTCAACAGCAGTAGCCTTTCTCATAGCACTAGGTTCCACGAGGAAAGCTGCTACAGCCAAAATGTGTTAGCTTGTCACAGTTGTAGTTTAATATGTAGCCAGTAAAGACTTGCCTTTTATGAATGACACCGAGTAGCTTGAACTTACTAGTGGTCAGCAATGCATCTCTCTGTACAGGATTCTTCCCTCCCCAGTGGAGCCCCATTACCCGAATCAGGTATCTTATTTTTTTTGTAATGATGCCCTCCAGAGGCTTTGCCCCCCTTCCTGATCAGGCCATTTTTTGCAATACGGCGCTGCGTTACTTTAACTGACAATTGCGCGGTCATGCAACAGTACACCCAGATAAAATTTACATCATTTTTTTCCCACGAATTGAGCTATCTTTTGGTGGTAATTTATCACCTGTGCATTTTTTTTTTTGTGCTATAAACAAAAAAAAAACGACAATTTTAAGAAAAAAAACAATATTTTAGACTTTTTGCTATCAAATATGTGCAATAAAAAAAATTTATACAAAGTGAGCTCCCCCCCCCCAGTGTCAGAATTCACTGATCGCCGCCATTACTAGTAAAAATAAATTTTACAAAAAAATCCCAGCATACAGGTGAAACTCGAAAAATGAGAATATGGTGCAAAAGTTCATTTATTTCAGTGCAGCAACTTAAAAGGTGAAACTAATCTATGAGATTACACTCATTCCATGCAAAGCAAGATAGTTCAAGCCGTGATTTGTCATCATTGTGATGATTATGGCTTACAGCTCATGAAAACCCCAAATCCACAATCTCAGAAAATGAGAATATTCCATGCGATCAATAAAACATGGATTGTACATAGAACAATATCGCACCTCTGAAAAGTAGAAGCTGCATATGTACTCAGTACTTGGTTGGGGCCCCTTTTGCAGCAATTACTGCCTCAATGCGGCGTGGCATGGAAAGCTATCAGCCTGTGGCACTGCTGAGGTGTTATGGAAGACCAGATGCTTCAATAGCGGCCTTCAGCTCTTCTGCATTGTTCCGTCTCATGTCTCTCATCTTTCTCTTGGCAATGCCCCATAGATTATCTGGGTTCAGGCGAGTTTGCTGGCCAACCAAGCACAGTAATCCCACGGTCATTGAACCAGGTTTTGGTGCTTTTGGCAGTGTGGGCGGTGCCAAGTCCTGCTGGAAAATGAAGTCAGCATCCCCATAAAGCTCATCTGCGGAAGGAAGCATGAAGTGCTCCAAAATCTCCTGGTAGACGGCTGCGTTGTCCCTGGACTTAATGAAGCACAGTGGACCAACACCAGCAGATGACATGGATCCCCAAATCAACACAGACTGTGGAAACTTCACACTGGACTTCAAGCATCTTGCAGTGTGTGCCTCTCCATTCTTCCTCCATACTCGGGTCCTTGGGCCTCTCCATTCTTCCTCCATACTCGGGGTCCTTGGGCCTCTCCATTCTTCCTCCATACTCTGGGTCCTTGGGCCTCTCCATTCTTCCTCCATACTCGGGTCCTTGGGCCTCTCCATTCTTCCTCCATACTCGGGGTCCTCGGGCCTCTCCATTCTTCCTCCATACTCGGGGTCCTTGGGCCTCTCCATTCTTCTTCCATACTCGGGGTCCTTGTGCCTCTCCATTCTTCTCCATACTCGGGGTCCTTGGGCCTCTCCATTCTTCCTCCATACTCGGGGTCCTTGGGCCTCTCCATTCTTCCTCCATACTCGGGGTCCTTGGGCCTCTCCATTCTTCCTCCATACTCTGGTCCTTGGGCCTCTCCATTCTTCCTCCATACTCGGGGTCCTTGGGCCTCTCCATTCTTCCTCCATACTCGGGTCCTGGGCCTCTCCATTCTTCCTCCATACTCGGGGTCCTTGGGCCTCTCCATTCTTCTTCCATACTCGGGGTCCTTGGGCCTCTCCATTCTTCCTCCATACTCTGGGTCCTTGGGCCTCTCCATTCTTCCTCCATACTCGGGTCCTTGGGCCTATCTCCATTCTTCCTCCATACTCGGGGGTCCTCGGGCCTCTCCATTCTTCCTCCATAGACTCGGGGTCCTTGGGCCTCTCCATTCTTTCGTTCCATACTCGGGGTCCTTGTGCCTCTCCATTCTTCCTCCATACTCGGGGTCCTTGGGCCTCTCCATTCTTCCTCCATACTCGGGGTCCTTGGGCCTCTCCATTCTTCCTCCATACTCGGGGTCCTTGGGCCTCTCCATTCTTCCTCCATACTCGGGGTCCTTGTGCCTCTCCATTCTTCCTCCATACTCGGGGTCCTTGTGCCTCTCCATTCTTCCTCCATACTCGGGTCCTTGGGCCTCTCCATTCTTCCTCCATACTCGGGGCCTTGGTTTCCAAATGAGATGCAAAAGTTGCTCTCATCAGAAAAGAGGACTTTGGACCACTGAGCAGCAGACCAGGTCTGTTCATCTTTAGCCAGAATAAGACGCTTCTGACGTTGTTTGTTGTTCAGGAGTGGCTTGACAAGAGGAATACGACATTTGAAGCCCATGTCCAGGATCCCCCTGCGTGGTGGTTCTTGATGCACTGACTCAAGCCTCAGTCCACGCCTTGTGAAAGTCCCCCAACACTTTTGAATGGCCTTTTCCTGACAATCCTCTCCAGGCTGCGGTCATCCCTGCTGCTTGTGCACCTTTTTCTTCCACACTTTTCCCTTCCACAATAAGTTTCTATTAATGTGCTTTGATACAGCACTTTGGGAACATCCAACTTCTTTTACAATTCCCTTTTCAGGCTTTCCCTCCTTATGGAGGGTGTCAATGATGGTGTCAGGTCAGCAGTCTTTCCCATGATTGTGATTCCTACTGAACCAGACTGAGAGACCATTTAAAGGCTCAGGAACCCTTTGCAGGTGTTATGGCTGAATGAGCTTATTAGAGTGGGGACACTTTGAGCCGAGATTATTTCCACCTTTTCACAATATTCTCATTTTCTGAGATTGTGGATTTGGGGTTTTCATGAGCTGTAAGCCATAATCATCACAATGATGACAAATCACGGCTTGAAGACTATCTTGCTTTGCATGGAATGAGTCTCATATATTAGTTTCACCTTTTAAGTTGCTGCACTGAAATAAATGAACTTTTGCACCATATTCTCATTTTTTGAATTTCACCTGTATATATACCGCCATTTGTAAACGCTATAACTTTCACGGACACCAATTAATTTACACGTATTGGGATTTTTTTTAGCAAAGACACGGAGCAGAATACATTTTGGCTTAAATTTATGATGAAATTAGATTTTTTAAATTTTTTTTTCCGGACATGTTTTATAGCAAAAAGTCAAAAGTATTGTTTTTGTTCTCAATTTTGTAGGTCTTTTTTTTATAGCTCAAAAAATACAAACCGCACAGGCGATCAAATACCACCAAAAGATAGCTTTATGCTTGGGAAAAAAGG